GAGCCAAGATCGCGCCATTGCACTCCAGCCTGGGAAAAAAGAGCGAAACCCCGCAACAAAAAAAAAAAAAAAAAGAATTCTGCCTACCACAATTACCAGCTGCACTCTAAAAGAGCTGTAGTAGGCCGGGCGTGGTGGCTCATGCCTGTGATCCCAGCACTTTGGGAGGCTGAGGAGGCTGGATCACAAGGTCAGGAGTTTGAGACCAGCCTGACCACATGGTGAAGTCCCGTCTCTACTACAGATACAAAAATTAGCTGGGCGTGGTGGCGCATGCCTTTAGTCCCGGCTACCTGGGAGGCTGAGGCAGGAGAATGGCTTAAACCCGGGAGGCGGAGGTTGCAGTGAGCCAAGATCGTGCCACTGCATGTCAGCCTGGCGACAGAACAAGACTCCATTTCAAAAAACAAAAAAAAAGAATAAATGTAAACGCTATTTTATCATTGCAATTCCATGCAGGTGCCTCAGTTAACCAACATAACATTTCAGTTATGAAGTAAATGGTTTCCTCTTTCAGATTCCTTTTTCCAAATTTTTCTTCTCTAATCGTGGAAGAATTCTGGATGTTCAGAGTCAGATTGTGGTTGACAAGGTAATGTATTCCTATATTTTTAACTCAGAACTGTATCATGTTTAATGAATCAGAACTCCTGTGAGACTGAATTCATTTGGGAAGAATGGCAGATGAAAATTCCTCCTCAGGGTCACTGCTGTTATACCCAGCCAGAGGCTGACTCAGACCTCTCTTAGGAGCTATACCCTATCTTGGAGAAATTTTAGAGTGATCATTTTTTAGCATGCCTACTTTTTATTTTAGGTTTTTTCCCCCCCATCCCTCCCTCCCATTTTAGCTTTAAAATAAGAGTTTATGAGCCCTTCAGGAACCTCCATTAGGCATTCATGTTGTCCCTACTAGGTTTCTTTATATTTTTGAGATGGAGTCTTGCTCTGTTGCCCAGGCTGGAGTGCAGTGGCACAATCTCGGCTCATTGCAACCTCTGCCTCCTGGGTTCAAGCAGTTTTCTGCCTTAGCCTCTCGAGTAGCTGGGATTACAGGTGCCCGCCACCACGCCCAGCTAATGGTTTTTTTTTTGTATTTTTAATAAAGACGGGGTTTTACCATCTTGGCCAGGCTGGTCTTGAAGTCCTGACCTTGTGATCCACCTGCCTCGGCCTAAGGTGCTGGGATTACAGGCGTGAGCCACTGTGCCCAGCCACTAGGCTTGAGTGGCAAGGGGAAAGGAGAGGAAGTTGAATGTGGAAAGAAAAGCAATCTTGGCCGGGCGCGGTAGCTCAAGCCTGTAATCCCAGCACTTTGGGAGGCCGAGGCGGGTGGATCACGAGGTCAGGAGATCGAGACCATCCTGGTCAACATGGTGAAACCCCGTCTCTACTAAAAATACAAAAAAAACACATTAGCTGGGCATGGTGGCATGTGCCTGTAATCCCAGCNAAAAAAAAAAAAAAAAAGAAAAGCAATCTTGTACTTCCTCTTATAGTATGCTGTGTAACAACTAGTATGTATTTGCTAAGGGCTGATAGCACTGAAATCCAGTTAATAATAATCATCTGATGGGATTTTAAACTCTGGGAATATTATCAGTACATCACTGTATGAGATTTTAATCAATGTCTCTATTTTAAATTTAGATCGCTTCTATAGGATTCACCTTGGCTGATAAAGTGGATGGTCCTTTCTTCCTGGAGGTAGATTTTATTGGAGTGTTTACGGATCCAGCTCACACAGAAGAATTTGCTTATGAAAATTCTCCAGAGCTTAGCCCAAGACTTTTTAAATAAAGATCATGTGGTAGTCTTGTTTTACAGAACTAAGGGTACTAGCATCTACAGTGATAGACAAAATAAAATATTTCTTTAATGGAATCCAACCAATGGCTAGAATGTATTCTCTAAAACAATTTGAACTGCTGTTGCTGGCTGGGCATGCTGGCTCACACCTGTAACCCCAGCAATTTGGGAGGCCAAGGTGGGCGGATCACTTGAGGTTCGCAGTTAGAGACCAGCCTGGCCAGCATAGTGAAACCCGTTTCTACTAAAAATACAAAAATTAGCTGGGTGTGGTGGCACACACCTGTAATCCCAGCTACTTGTGAGGCTGAGGCAGAATTGCTTGAACTGGGAGTTGGAGGTTGTAGTGAGCCGATCACACCGCCACTGCATACCAGCCTGGGCCAGACTGAGACTCCCCGCCCCCCACTGCCCCCAACAACAAAAAATGCTGTTGCTAAAAGGCACTGGATAAGGAGAACACAGCATGAAACCAGGTTCTCTGGTGTACTTTATCTCATAGAATGCAAGTACTGATGCAAATGTACTGTAAATAACTTACTGTTTTTGGTTAGAACAGTTGCTGTTAGGAACATTTCCTACATGAGGAGTTTCTAAAGCAGGAGTCTCTGAGATGACTGTTTATGGCCTTTCTACCACTCTGTTGCTTTCAGATTTCTTATATTTTCATTTTGTTCTGTTGAGACAGAGTCCCACTCTTGCCCAGGCTGGAGTGCAGTGGTGTGATCTCACTGTAACCTCTGCCTCCCAGGTTCAAGTAGTTTTCCTGCCTCAGCCTCCTGAGTAGCTGGGACTACAGGTGTTCGCTAACATGCCTCGCTAATTTTTGTACTTTTAGTAGAGATGGGGTTTCACCATGTTGGCCAGGATGGTCCTGAACTCCTAACCTCTAATTCTTAATTTTTTTGTAAAGATCGGGTCTCACCATGCTGTCTGTCCAGGCTGGTCTTGAATTCCTGGTTCGGGTGATCTTCCTGCCTTGGCCTCCCAAAGTGCTGGGATTATGGGCATGAACCACCACACTCAGCCTATGGCTTGTGTTTTTGCTTTCTGGGGATGTCTTAAGTGTAAATACTTTTAATTTTGATAAAGTAGTTT